AACTTAAAAATAAATTGGCATTGATTATCAATTTTCAGTTTATTATACCTTTGTCCAGTGAAAAAATATTCTCATAACCTCGATGGAAGATCGAACGCATTTTACAACTTCGTTGATCCAAAAATTGCGTACCTCTTCCATTCTGCAATTTGTCAGCAAGTGTTGAATTGCTGTCCACTGTAACATTTGCTAAAACCCCTCCTCATTTCGATACATAAAGCTTGTAAATCCCGGAAGTGAACAGGGAAAATTATGCCAAATCATATTCCCTCCAATTCACAATCTTTTATTTATTTATATCAAATGGCAGGCGTTTTGATGGTTATCATTAGCCATTTGGTTGGCTTCGGGCTTCACAGAGAGGAGGGTGAACATCAAAGTGAAAAAAGTCGAGAGGGGGAGGGGGGAACAGAAGAGTGATTCACAGATGTAAAAGAGACAGGCACAAAGGTAGAAAAAAGGTGAGGTGAGTACTGTGAAAGGGGTCAAATACAGCATACATTGGAGTCATGGTAGTTTGAAGTCGGAGGTGAACTACTGGTTAATAGACAATTTTTTGCCGTATGAGTAAACGTTTTCCAGGGTGCACCACGTGGAGGTAAGTCTATCGCACACACTCCTGTCAATGGAAATAAATACATTCTAAGGCAAAGCTCGGAAATGAACAGTGAAAATTATGCCAATTCATATTCCCTTTAATTTACAATCTTGCAAACTCTTCTCTCCATTTTGGTGTACCTTTAACATCACTTTACCCTTTCATATATATATAAAGATGGATTTTTTCATCAATAAATCTCTTACCTCATTTACTTCTTGTGCCTAAAGGACACATTGAAACTGGAGGAGAATTGGCGAGCGGAAATTTCAGAACTGCAGTCCATAATCAAGGCCTTGAGTGATGAAAATGCTCAACTGACGGAGATGATCGAAGCGGCCAAGAGCTCCAGGTCCCATCGACTGGTTGCAGCTACTGGTATCTAACGGTTCTTAGAGTTTTGCCCTTTCTTTTTGTTTTGACCAATCACCGCTGCTTAAAGTGGTGATTGGTCAAAAAAATTTCTTTTTTATATGAACTTGATTTCTAGAATTTTCAGTTTACCACCTTTGCTTTGGTTAGGGTCTTCCAATCTCTTCAGATGAAAAAATATTCGTGGTCAGAGGTGCCTCCTAAAGAGTTTAGTGTTTGTTTGGGATGCAAATTTCATTTGCGATCAACTTGCTTTGAATGAGAAGTAACGATCACGATGAGGTAGTTTCAATTTGAAAATTGCGAAGACCAATGGGGATGAACTGTCAAGGGGGGGGGGGCGGGGAGGGGGGAGACCACTTCAGAAAAAATCCATAAAAGGAACCCAGTTGCCTTTCAGTTTAAAGTGAAAGTGTTGTAGCTTGTGCTTAGTTCATCCTTAAGCCAACTGCGGTATCTGAATGCTTTTTCTTGCTCTACGTGAGGTCAGTGATGACTAATTCTCAATTCCTCCTAAATGTCTTGACTATCAGTTCTAATGCGTCAAATTGACAATAACCCACAGCCACATGAGAAAGCCAACTTAAAATAATATAGGATTTTTTATCTGAATTCTCGTTGAATTATGCTACTCATGATATTAGGAATGACTCAAGTGCTTGCTATAACACTATCTCGGGAGACATGGCAAAAGTCGAGATTGAAAATGGAGCAAACGTTCAATGCTTAGTAATCCGTCTTCATAACCCTAAAAGGCACTTATATTGTGGGGTTAATATATGAAGGAACAAATAGAGAACAAATTTCACGCGGTTTATTAGATTTTCATCGATTTTTAGCACCACGAAAAACAGAGGAGGAGAGCTTGTTACGCCGGCTTAAAGAAGTTGTCGATGCTCAGACAGTCGAATTGCGCTCTCAACGGAGAATTCTCGCTCAACGATCAATTGATTTCGACGCCGTGAGCATTACAAATATATTTATAAATGATATACTACTGACAAAATTTAGGTAGCACTTTCTTTTAAACAGATGAAACTTCAAGCTGTTCGCTTAGCTCACTTAAACGCCAAAGGACCCCGTTTGAAATTTATTACACAAAATGAGGATTTGTCAGGTGGAATGATAGCATATTTAACTGACAAGATAAAAGATTTGGAAACCCGCCTTCAGGCAAAACGGGTCTTGATTGAAGAGATGAAAAATCACATCGGTCCATCACCTGAAGGCTGTCAGTATTCAAAGGCCCTAATGACAACTTCTCTTGTAAGTTAATAATACTCTAACTCTAGATTTTTGATTACACATCTTAAGTTGAACAATATTCATTTATAAGGCAAAAATAACATACGGAAGTGGAGAGGTTTGATAAGTCGGGGGAGTTCTGTGTCGAAAGCACAATTTTCACATATCCATGGTTTTGACCTGACCGCCTTAGCATTCAGCTAGTTGGGCGTTCAAGGTACGATCACGAAAAAAATCGTCCAAGTTGTGTTTCTAGATAAAAGGTTTTAAGCACTTACACTATTCCACTGCCGATTAGTTTTAAGCACACCTGATTTCAAAATATTTAAATTAGCTGTCAAAATAAAAAGATGATGACGCTCCTCTCTCTAGCTTTACGGTGACGTTTATTATCGTGTGTCAGCATGGCTTTTGTGAATAAGTTTTGACTCCTAATCAAATCACATCTTATGTAACTAAGTAATTCCCGAAAAATGAAATCCAAATTTAAATAAAATAGTATCGCGTTTGTTTTATAAATACAAAGGCACATTGCCTTAAATATTAGAGTTACCTAGTTGGGTGGACGGCGACGTATATCTCTCATGTCTTTGTCACCTTCAGGAGGCGTGAGGAGATCATTTCTATTGGAGAATAGTATTCAAGTCAATCGGGGACAATGGAGGGAGTGAATTCCACGAAATGAGGTTTAAATTCTCTTGTAGGGTCATGATTACGAATATATTTTGCAGCCTTACTCTCATTGTCATGGACGGTATGAGTGCAAATGCCTGCAGGTTTGATATTAGGTGATATCTCTATAAACTCAACAGAACTCGAGTCAATTGTCATTGATAGCGTGAAACTATGAGGTGATTTGGAAGCGATGAATCACGAATGAAGCTGATAAGTGGGAAGTAAAGATATGCCAAAGATAGATTCGGTGCTTGTTTATCCCAATTTCCTTTCTTGATTTGGCGAAGTTGATATAAAAAAGTTGTCTGAAAAATAGTTTCTGCAAACTATCGCGGTTAGCATCCCCTTTCACTTGAAAACACCTTAAAGCTGCTTGTTTCTAGGCGAAAATTCCGTTATCCACATTGCCTTGAAGCGCGCGCGCGCTGTTTTCATAACAGCCTACTGCCATAGTACCATATTTCCTGGTGTCAGGTTGCTTTTCTGTGTGGTGAAATGAATTTGTTTCCTCTCCTGGCATTGAAACCAACACACTCCACACACTTAATGCCATCTTCCTCCTTTTACTTTGTTGTTCAGAGCTTTTCTGACTTTGTTGATGTAATCACCTTCCATAAATTTTCCACTTATTATCCTACGTTTCTAAATTTTTAATTTAAGAAGGGAGACTTTTCTTAAATTTTTGTTTCATTAATTGAAGAGTGGGTTTTTAAAAGTATAGCAGAACTAGTAAAATGTAGCATAGTTTTATTTTGGGACAAAATTTCTCACATTTCTAAATGTGTTGGTTATTATGTTGAGCGAAGGTGGGGTGTGCGATAGACTTACCTCCACGTGGTGCACCCTGGGCAACGTATATTCATACGGCAAAAAAGTCTATAAATTGGCCGTTGACTTCTGACTTCAAACTACCACGAACCCCTGGTTGTCATATTCGACTCCTTCCACAGTACTCACCTTACCTTTTTCTCTACCTTTGTATCTGTCTGCCTCTTTTACATCTGTGAATCGCTCTTCTGTTCCCCACCCCTCGACTTTCTGCTACTTTGATGAACCTTCTCTCTGTGAAGCCCGAAGTCAGCTAAATGGCTAATGATATATATCAAAACGCCTGCCATTTGAAATAAATAAATAAATGTTGAGCGAAGGTAATCCGAATATTATCACCTAACTGGAGTTAGTAAGCTCAAAACATAGCTAATCCCTTTAGAAGACCGGAGAAAATTCTGATTTGAAAAGGTAATACAATTAAAATGCTCCAAGTTAGTTGGAAAATCAATACAATAACTGTCAACCCGTTGACTTGCCTATACTGATTTTGCTTCCTGATCGGCTTAAAAAGCATTGAATTTCTCGTGAGAAATAAATGTGTTGGACTTAGGGATATGCGAGAAAATGGAAATCTGGAAATTTTACCTTTGCAATAGAGTTAAGACTCTCTATTTTTGAGGAATGATTACATTAAAATAATTCTTAGTTCTTGTACCGCTGGTTTTAAAATGGCTAGTTTTGAGAGCCTCCAGTGAAATAGTTCTCTCCCACCCACCCAACCACCCACCCTCCTCTCCCAGAAAATTAGCTCTAGAAGTGGAAATTCAATCTCATGCTTTACAATGACCAATTTTGACATTTGTTATCTAGCTATCTTTCTCCTATTCTCAACAACTGGACTGTTAGTTTATTCGAGTTCAAATAATGCCATAGTACGAACGGATAATGAGTAGATACTTTCGTTAATGAATAAAATATAAATTCTGCAAAGATGAATCAGAATATCATATCTAAACTTCGGCAATATCCTGAATAAAAAATAGCTTTGATTCAATAGTCAATTCCACTTGGACAATGGATTGGCTTATTAATCAGATCGACACAGAGAGATATGAATAGCCTAATTTGGCGTGCGAGGTGATAGCGTGCAGGCTAGAGAGAGAGGGAGAGGGGTAGGGAGGGGGAGGGGTGGAGATTGAAATCTTTCAGGAGCGAGGGAGCGGGCGCGAGTAGTGGAGTCAGTAGGTGTGAGGGCGGTAGAGAGAGGGTGAGAGGGGGTGAGAGAGAGAGAGAGCTTGTTATCGGTCGCAGATTATATATTCCTGCTCAACTTGTGCTGGATTGAGGTATAAAAAGGGGCTTTGAGTGCAACCATTCTTACCCCTCCACCTCCTTTTATCTTTTCCCTTTTCGCGCGCAGGCTGTTAAATTAGCACGACACGCAACCACATTCTGGCTTCTGAATAATAAAAAAATTACCGAGACGAAATTGTGAACGCGAATCTTTCACCAACATGTTTTCGAACTGGACCCTCGACCTCTTCACACCAATATTCCTCTTGATGCTTGAGGTTGTTGTCTACTTCCAGGCACTCCTCTCAAATCGAAATTTAATCCAACCTCCAGAGGTTTTATCCACTTCAAAAAATAGTGCGATTTAATGGCCTTGAATACGCTTGTTTGTGGGAAAACCCATTGAAATATGAAACTATCAGTCCTCTCTCTCTCCCTGTCTTTATGATAGTAAAATGATATCCCCAAGTGATTCAAATCGAGAAAATCTAGAATTTTGAGCATTTTTCGGCTAAATCATTGAAGCAAATGAATTCAAAGAACGTTATTAATTGGGTAAACTATAGGAATGAAAATGCATATTTACGCTTACAACTTCTTTCTAAATTTTATATAAGGGGATGAATTAATCTCCACTTTTAAAAGGTAGAAGATGGTCTTTAACGATCTGTATGGAAGTTCAGATTAAATTGCTCTAGTCTTCTTCGATAATAATCGATTTTTGAATTTATTATTATTATTATATCAAATGGCAGGCGTTTTGATTGTTATCATTAGCCCTTTAGTTGACTTCGGTCTTCACAGAAGGGAAGGAATATCAAAGTGTAAATAATTCAAGAGGAGGGGGGGGGGGAACAGAAGAGTGTATCAAAGACGAAGGTAGATAAGGCGGAAAAAGGTGGGATGAGTACTGTGAAAGTAGTCGAATATGACTTACAGTTGGGTGATGGTAGTTAGAAGTCAGAAGTCAACTGCCAGTTAATAGACTTTTTTGCCGTATGAGTATACGTTTCCCAGGGTGCACCACGTGGAGGTAAGTCTATCACACACCCCATTTTTGAATTTAAATGTGCAATTGTTGGAGGGCGGGGAGGGGGGCAGGCGGGTTGGTTGGGAGGTAGCTGGCAAAAGTCACGGACTCGAATCATCTGAATGTGCATCCCGTGGTGTGAATAACCAATCGCGTTGGCTAACATCGATCAGCACAAGAACAATTCTCAATACAGCCAGAAGGCTTTGCCATTTAAAAATACGCATATTTTAACTGCATGTTTGCCTAGTTGCACTGAAACTTACTTTCATGCGATAACATGGCCGGATATGGCACAATATCCGACACGTTTCCTGTTATTTCAACACATTCCTACCTTTGCATTTCTCTTATTAATTTTACATAAATTTGCACTTGCATATACTTGTTAAACAGATATTAAAAAAATTTCTTCTTTTATTAACACCGATAAAACTAGTGCATTTATACTGTTATGAGCTTTCCGTGATTAAAACATTTTCATTCATTTAACGATATTGCTTAAATAAATTTCGAAACAAACTGAATTTTCACGAAAAAGTGATAAAATTGCGTTTCGTAATTGTCATTAAAGGAAAACCAAATTAGTACATTTAGGAATAGAGCATTGCAAAAGGGCTACTCAAAATGTATTAATTTATCTCAAAAGGCAGACGTTTTGAAAGTTATTATTAGCCCTTTAGCTGACTTCGGGCTTCACAGAGGGGAGGAAGAACATCAGAGTGACAAAAAGTCGAGAGGAGGGACAGAATATTGATAAACAGATGTGAACGAGTCAGGCAGACACAAAGGCAGAGAAAAGGTAAGATGAGTACTGTGAAAGCAGTCGAATATGACATACAGTAGGGTAGTGGTAGTTTGAAGTCAGAAGTCAACTGCCGGTTTATTGACTTTTTTGCCGTATGAGTACACGTTGCCCAGGGTGCATCACGTGGAGGTAAGTCTATCGTGCACCCCACTACTCAAAATATACAAAGTTGTCGCTGTGCAGGTTGGTCTGAGAATTCGAACTTCAGAAAATATGGTTTCTGGAACTTTGTTTTTTGTTTGCCTCATGCTAAGTACTCATTTTGAGAGTTGATTGGGAAAGACTCAGGAGAATAGTTTTGTCTAGTGCTGGGATTTCCATTTCTGCCTTTCTAATAAGCAAATGCAACAATCTTTCAGCCCTCGCATTTTCTTAAAATTAACTTATCAACAAAAAACTCGCAATTACACAAAGGTTATTGCATTTCCTCTTTTTTCGTTTAACAATTAGTAG